CACCATCCCCAGGGTCGCCAAGGGACCCGCAGGTGAGCCCCCTGCCCCGGGGGGGGACCCGCTGCACCCCCTACAAAGGATCCATATTTCCCGTCCCTCTCCACAGGGAAAAGTACTGGGAACTGCTGGAACCAGAGAACGCCCAAAACGGCCCCCGGGGTGAAGGTAGGTGTGGGGGGATTTTGAGGATGGTCTGGTTGGGACATGTCCCTGGGGTTGGGGACGGGCCGTGGTGGCTGTGGGGGGTGTTGAGGGTCTCACTGCTGCTCCCCACACACCCCCTCCCACAGGTGCCCCCCTGCCCGAGGGGCTGAGCCGGCTCTTCGGGGTGCTGGGGGAACTGGAGGGCTGCCACCGCCTGGCGCAGCCCCCGGCCCCCCCGGCGCCCACCTTGCTGCAGCTGCAGGCGTGAGGGGACCTCCAGGGTCCCCACACCTCGGGGACCGCCACCACCATGGCAATAAAGGCACTTTGTATCCTGCAGCCGTGTCCTCTTGTCTCTGGCGGGGACGCTGTTGGCCATGGGGGTGGGCACTGGTGGTGCTGGGGGGCGGTGCAGCACAGGGTGGGGGACTGGCCAAAGCTCTGCTGGTGGCACTGGTGGTGCTACTCATGGTGGCACTGCTCGTGGTGGCATTGGTGATATTGTGGATGGCCGTCCTGGTGTCACTTCTGGTGGCCCTACTGGTGGCGGTGGTGGCATCAGTGGTGTTTCTGCTGGTGGCCTGGTGGAAGCACTGCTGCTAGCTCTACTGGTGGCACTAATGATGGTGGCACCAGCGGAAGTACTGCTGGTGGCTCCACTGGTGGTGCCACTGATGGTGGCACTGGTGCACTGGTAGCACCCTCCTGGTGCCATGTCTGGTGGCTGCAGTGGTGGCATCACTGGTGGTTCTGCTGGGGCATTGCTGATGGTGTCACTGGTGTTGGTGCTCCTCATGGCATCGCTGATGACATCACTGGTGGCCCTGCTGATGTCCTTTCTGGTGGCACCAATAGGGCACCAGTGGTGGAACTACCGATGGTTTTACTCCTGATCCCACCAATGGTGGCACACATGGTGGAACTGGTGCCACCGCTGCCGGTCCCATCACTGCTCGTGCTGGCACTGGTGATGTCACTCATGGCCCTGCTGGTGGCCGCAGCGGTGGCGTCATTGTTGGTTTTGCTGGTGGCCTGGGGAAAGCGCTGCTGGTGGCAGCACTGCTGGTGCTCGTGATGGTGGCACTGGTGGAAGTACTGGTGGTGGCACCACTGGTGGTGGCACAGGTGACGTCGTTGTCGGCCTGGTTGGTCGTTGCTGGTGGCCTGGGGAAAGCACTGCTGGTGGCAGCACTGCTGGTGCTCGTGATGGTGGCACTGGTGGAAGTACTGGTGGTGGCACCACTGGTGGTGGCACAGGTGACGTCGTTGTCGGCCTGGTTGGTCGTTGCTGGTGGCCTGGGGAAAGCACTGCTGGTGGCAGCACTGCTGGTGCTCGTGATGGTGGCACTGGTGGAAGTACTGGTGGTGGCACCACTGGTGGTGGCACAGGTGACGTCGTTGTCGGCCTGGTTGGTCGTTGCTGGTGGCCTGGGGAAAGCACTGCTGGTGGCAGCACTGCTGGTGCTCGTGATGGTGGCACTGGTGGAAGTACTGGTGGTGGCACCACTGGTGGTGGCACAGGTGACGTCGTTGTCGGCCTGGTTGGTCGTTGCTGGTGGCCTGGGGAAAGCACTGCTGGTGGCAGCACTGCTGGTGCTCGTGATGGTGGCACTGGTGGAAGTACTGGTGGTGGCACCACTGGTGGTGGCACAGGTGACGTCGTTGTCGGCCTGGTTGGTCGTTGCTGGTGGCCTGGGGAAAGCACTGCTGGTGGCAGCACTGCTGGTGCTCGTGATGGTGGCACTGGTGGAAGTACTGGTGGTGGCACCACTGGTGGTGGCACAGGTGACGTCGTTGTCGGCCTGGTTGCTGGTGGGGGGAAAGCAATTCTGCTTTGAAAAGTGAGGGAATAGCGTCCACCAACACATTCAGGTCGCCAGAAATGCGGCGCTCTAATTATTTTTTTAATAGAAAAAGTGTTTGTTTGTGTTGCGTGGTTGGTCACTGCTGCTTTTTCCATTCCAGGCAGTTACTGAAAGACCCCCAGGTGTTATTTGCAGGGTACAAGGTCCCGCACCCGCTGGAACACAAAATTATCATCCGCGTCCAAACCACTCCTGATTACAGCCCCCAGGAAGCTTTCACCAACGCCATCACGGATCTGATCAGTGAGCTCTCCCTCCTGGAGGAGAGGTTCAGGGTGAGTTTGTTTCTCTTTTCTTTTCAAAGCATTTGAGCTTCTTGCAATTAAAAGTTAAACAAAGGGGAGGGTGGTGTGACCTAGAACTGCTATTTTAGGTCCATAAATTCATCAAAGCCAGGTGGTGTTACTCAGCTGCTGTCAAGGCACGGTGGAGCTTGGCCGCTCTTACCGGTTATTCACCTGCCCAGCAAGGGTTCAGTGGGTGCTCTGTAATTCCCTAGATGGCTGGCATTGGTTTTCTCACAGTCTTACTAGTGTAGAAAACAATTTTCTGTTCTTCCAAGTCTGTTTTGTTATTTTTTTTCAACTTCTCCTGCCAAAACTCTGGGCCAGTGGTCGTTTGTTTCAGGTTTTTTTCACCACTCCTCATTGCTTCTGCTCATCTGTGCAATTGTATTTATTTAGCCCCTGATTTTTGAGACTTGATCTGCCCAAAAGGTTATTGAGCCTGAACAGGGGGTACTCTGAATAGGATACTCTCTGTAGAGTTCTCTGGTGTGCTGGTAAAAGGTAACAGTGCACCAATTTTGTTAATACGTTTTCATATTGAGTATTGTTTTTCTGGATGGTGTAGAGACTTCCACTAATGATTTGTGGTTCTTCTTGTGTTTCACAGAACAATGTTTAAACTAAGTTCCTCCAGCTCAGTAACGCTTTTTGTCTTAAACTATGTATTTTTCTTTGTGTTTTACAGGTTGCTATTAAAGACAAACAAGAAGGAATTGAGTAAAATCACCCCATTTAGAGCCGACTGTACTTCTGAGGCAGAGCGATGTGTCTGTTAATTGAACACTATATTTAAACCTCCATTCAAACCTCCAATATTTTCCCCCTTCTCCCACTTATGTTTAATTTTTGACGGCAGCAGCTATGTTTTGAAGGGATTTTTATACCAGACAGGCACTTTGCCAAGAGGATAAATGCCTTGTTTGATTTGATGGATATATCATTAAAATGATTTCTACTTTGCTAATTGGAGCCTTAAGACAAATATTTGTACTGGGCTGTTGGCAAGTTTATTGGGAGTGAACTTCCAGAATGAGAAACCACTGAGTGAGAGTGGTAGATGAACCTCCTGCTTTTCCTTTTCAAAAAGTCTAGGCACTGTCAACTGAACTGGTATTTTGTTTTATTAAGTGTCATTTCTATAAAACAAATGCACAAATTGTGAAAACTTACAGTAAAAGAAACCGGATGTTTACAATGACTTGATGAGTTTAACAAACTCTTACCGTGTTGTTTGTTTTGTTTTTGTTTTGTTTTTTTCTCTTGCACATAATAGCTGGGCTAGAAAACTTCATGGTTACATGGGTAACAGTCACTAATACTGCACTATTTCAAAGCACGGGAATGAAACTCTGTTACAAGGAACTATGACTTCTTCCAAATTGCTGTTATGTTCACACTAGTTAGAACAACAAGGTAAGTAAAAGTAGGGTCTGATACCACATTGTTTATTAGGACTTCACTCAGCTGCTCCCCATTCTCTCGAAGCTCTGGCCACTTGAGAATCTATGAGGAGAAGAGAGTTTGGGTAGGAAAGCAAGGGCGGTATTGTCTCTGAAAGTGGGAGGTTATTAATGACTGCAAGGCCTGGTTTGATGATGGGGGTTTGGCATCCGCTTCCTTGCCAGCCTGGGGAAGCTAAATAAAAAGATTCTCCTTTCTGAGGGAGGTGGTGCAGCTTTATGTACTCTGAAAGAACCAGGGTTTAAGGCAGAGGGACTTGATCGGAAAGGAAAAGGTGAAAGCAGCTGGAACTGACTGTTGACTTGGGCAATGTGCTCACAAAAAGTTTATGGAACGTTAGGTCACGTCATAGCTGTATGCAGTGATAGCTCAAGACTGTGCTGTGGAGTGGGAGCCTTTGAGTGTGTGTGCCTTCGTCACGCAAGGGAAGAGTAACTGCCCGAAAGAGGACAATCTGGGCACAAGGGAAATACCAAAAGGAAAAAAAAAAAAAAAAAGGGTGGCATGAGCATACGGAAGCAGTGAGCCCTTCCATGCATGCCGGTCCGCCAGGGAACAGCCGCTCCGGCTTCCCCCTCCTCAGCCCGTCAGGGCAACGGTGTCTGCACACTTGTGTAGTCCGGCTCTCCAGGTTAACCACCCGGAGCCCTTCTGCTAGGAGAAGCTGCCAACCTGCAGAACGCCGGAGCAAACAGACTTGCTTTACAGCTCATAATTCCTGTTACAGTTGTGTTTGTGTGAGATTTGAAAGATGGCCTTGGTCACGCTCTGAAGATTGTTTTTAATTGCTTGTGAGGGTTAGGTAGAGCAAACCGTTGGCATGTTCTGGTGTAAATCTGCTCAGTGACTCGGGCCAGCTCCACCGGGGAGGGAGGGAGGGAGGGAGGGAGGCCCAGCTCAGCCCCAAAGGGTAAATGTGACCTACCTGTGTGGGCGGGATCCTCCTCTCGGAGCGTTTTCCCTTTGCAGAGCTCCATGCTGTGCTGTAGTTTGAGAGGTTGTACATCCACACACTTCCCTTCTCGTCACCACAGAACACGTAGTCTTTTGCTGTAAGACCAAAAGAAGAAGGTGGGAAATTAGTGTGAAACTGGGAGGCCACTCCTGTCTAAACCAGAGCTCATGACGGTGCTGTAGGATTCCAGGGGAGGGTATCATATTTCAGCAAAATTCTATTTCTAGCACAAATATATTAATCTACCTTGCTCTGAAAAAAAAAGTAAATTCATTTAAAGATAAATTGGCTATCTTATTCTAGTATATAAAAGCTAATGATAAGTGTTTTGATGTTTCTTTTGACTTTTTCAGACTTTGTGGTTTTTGGAACGTGGTGATCAAATCGGGTTTGTTTATTCCTTGTTAGTCTTAAAAGCCAGCTGCCCCCTGTGTGGCATTCTTACCCCCTTCTTCAGCTGCAAAAAGCATTAAAATGGGTCTAGAAAAAGTACGGGGCCAAGCCAGAGCTCTGTGTGCTTTGAAGACCTCCACAAGGAAGACCGTGTTAGCACTGTACAGTCGGCGTAACACTGTAAGCCTGAGCTGTTCCCCCACTGCATGGCAGATAGTATAGCTGCAGTTATGTATTGCTCGTATTATTTATATACAGGTGGTGCTGGGGTGTTGCTGCGCTTTGCTGGAGCTGCAGTGCAGGGAGTTGAGGGCTCTTGTTGCTTGCTGACGGGAGACCAGACACGCTCTCTCTGCTGGGGACTGAAATCCCGGCCTCTGCCTCCAACTCCGGGCTCCTCCGACAGGGGAAGGGGGAGGCACAAACCGCACAACTGTTCGAAGTAACTCTGGACCCGTGCGGCCGTCTCTGCTACGGTGCCCGGTACAGCCTCACTGCTCGCACCCAGGAAGAGTGCTGCTTACCTGGGCAGGTGCTGAGCGTCAGGTAGGACAGGTCTGTCGTGGACCACTCAAGCTCAGCTAGAATAACTGCAGATATTGTTCGCTGGCATCCCTTCCCCTTTGTGTCAAAAGATCGACTCCAGCTCCACAAGTATATGCAACCCGGTTTAGAGCTCTTGGAAACTAGGGAGGAAAGAGGGGAGAGGCTGTGTCAGTTGCTGAGATGCGAAACGCCTCAAAACAAAGGCTGGCTTCTGGTGAAGGTGGTCCATCCGGAAGGTGACTTTTAAGAAGTGGGACCCGATAGCAGCAGCAACTGTTTCCACCTCCTTTACCTTATTTCAGGATAATTGGAGGCTGCAGAAGGATTTTCAGTCCCATGCCTATGTTCACGAACTGCAGAACAAGCATCAGCTATTCGCTAAGACCCAGCCCATTCTTTAAGCACTCTCCCAGATGTGGGAACTCTCAATTCCCCTTTAAAAAAAATACTGCTGCCCCCAGCCCTTGAGCAGAAAGGAGCTCTCCTCCCGTCCACTTCGGCACTGCTCAGCCAAGCGTGCTCTCGGGGTTGGGTCCATCTGATTTCCAGTCCTGCTCAGACATGGGTTTGCACCTCTATCTCACGTTTTAGGGAAAGCTGAGTG